TTTTTCCACTGGTAATTAGGTGGGAATCATTGGGAAGAAAATGGTGCTCGTACCTACAGCATTGAAGGAACCTCCTATGGCTTGCTGGCTTTGTTGAGAATGAAGAAATTCGAGGCTACTGGTCCCGTAGTCAGATGGCTGGTAGCGCAGAAGTTTTATGGGGAAACATATGGACAAACTCAGGTGAGTGTTTCCTTTACTGTCCGTTGCTACAGAATTCAGGCATTGGCTTCTGAAGAGTTCTGTCTCAGGTCAGGCTACTGAACAACAAACAGTTCTTTACCTCATTGCTTCCCTTTGGCTGTCTGAGGTGGTAAATTTGTGTCTCTCTGTTTCCGTTCAGCTTGATGGTGGGAACTATGAGAAGAAAGAGATGAGAAAGAAGACAGGGTTCCTTTATGTTCCATAGTGATGCAGAGGAGGCAATTTCAGCACGTTTTATGCTCTCCCTCAGTGACAAAAGTCCATTCCAAATCATTCCACCACAGCTCTTGTCTTCTTCCTGTGTCACACCATGTTGTGCTGACAGCTACAAATGTATGGATGTGCCTACGTGTGTGTCATTCAGTCACATTTTGTATTTTTCCTTCAGAGATTGCCAGGTCTGTCCCGGTGTACTTTGAATTAACATTTTGGCCTGCTGCCAAAATAAGGAGCCACACCATTTCTCTAGTAACCTTTTCTCACCAGATTTCCAGTTCCTAAGTCCCTATCTAGATCTTCCTTTCAAGGCAAACTGACAGACTTCATCTTACTCTTTCCCATTCTAGGCGACCATCATTTTATTTCAAGCACTTGCTCAGTATGAAATTGACATTCGTGGTCATAAGGACCTGAACTTGGATGTTTCTATCCAATTGCCAGAACATAAGAAACCAATTCGTTACAGGATTAACTATGATTCTGCTCTCCTCTCCCGAACAGCACAGGTACGACTTCTTCTTTTTTGAGCAATTAAAAATATATATTATTTTTCCATTCTGGAAAAGACCAGTTATTCTATGTTTCTATATATAACCAACCCCTTAACTGCAAGGACTGAAGATGGGTAAAACATGACACAAGGCTCAGTGAAACCAACAATCAGAAACATGTGAAAGGCTAAACTGCTATATGTTGTGTAAACACTTAGTAGCCCTATTCAGGTGTTCAGGGACAGAGGAAACTGGAATGAATGAGGGAAAGGAGCAGGTTTGCCCCTCTCTCTTACTCATGGGTCTCTTCACATGAAAAAAAAAGTAGTTGAGGAGGAAATAGACACCTTAATCAGGCTGTTGTCATATTATAGCTGCTGCTCTTTTCAATGCCACAGATCTGCAAATCCATAGGGAGAATGGATCGGTTAAAATAGTCTGTTCTTGGAGGCTCCCCCACCCTGATGGGTTTTGGGAGGCCTTGGGAGAATATCTGGCCAACCTGGATGGTGACCCTGTCAAAGTCCAGGTCAATAGATATTATACAACAACAATCCAGACAATTGACACAATCACTCCCATACGCCCTCTTCCCTTAAAAGGTTATCCTACTCCCTAGTTTACCAAGGAGCTTCAAGCTATGAAGATGGCTTGAGAGCACATGGAGGAAGGATAAGTCAAAACAAAATCGGCCCTCAGTTAAGACCCCTATCAGGAAATACACCAATGCTTTAAGATTGGCAAAAAAAAAAAAAGGTTTTCAATATTAACACCATTGGTGATGCTGTGAACCAAAAAGTGGAACTTTTCCAGGTGGTCTGCAACCTCATAAATCCTGATTAGCACAGGGCTCACCCTGGTGAATTTATCAATGACTGATTTGCAGCCTTTTAAAAATCTAAAATGGAGACCATTCAGTCTGATCTTACTTCCACCAGCAGTTTAGTTGATTGGGTAGGGATTGCTGCTGCACCCTCTCCCTCTGCCTGTTTGGTGGTTCACTTTGACCCAATGTCATTGTCGTAGGTATCCAGGGCCCACACTAGATGCCAACCCACCTCCTCTCTGTTCAACCCTTGTCCTGCATGGTTAATACAAGCCACCAACAAGATTATGGTTGACTGGGCCATAAATATTGTGAACACCTTGCTGAAGGAGGGCTGTCTCCTCCCAAAAGTAAAGGAGACCATTTTTGGCCCATTGCTAAATGACCACATAGTAATGTGGCTATATAGTAATAGAACAGTAGTAATAACTGAATAAAACAAGCAATAACAAAAAGGAACAGTCAAGCAAAGGGCATGCTCACTCTTTTCAGATTAAGGGCAATCAAAATTTCACTGTGCAAGCATCAGGCCAAGGAAAAGCAACAATGGTTATTGCAACAGTGTACAATGCAAGGATGCAAGAAAATGCACTACAGTGCAAGAAATTCAGTCTTGACGTCAGTATTGAACCTCTTCAGTTAGGTAAGTCTGAGCAACAACTTTCTAGGTTCTGACAAAAAACCTAGATGTTATTCTTTTATGTTACTGCAGCACAAGTCCTAATGATTGGTCACAGTGCCTTTAAATTTCTGATGTGGATGAGATACACATATAAGATGCGCCCTGAGAATTTGGTGCCCAGGACAACCACCCCTGTGCCTCCCCCCCGGTATGCTTCTGCTGGGTTTTTTTTTCCTGAGCAGACATGACTAGAACTGAGCCATGCTTTGTATGATTGGTGGGAAGTGTCTGTATTAGTAAAAATTATATCTGTCCCCAATAATTTGCCCTTAAAGTTCCACCCAGTTTTCAAATGCACCCTGAGACCCTTTCCAAATTAGATTTCAGCCTCTAGATTGAGAAATGTTTCTCACCACTGGCTTAGAAAATTCTGATTGGCATGGCCGCTTTCCCATTATAAGGTTGCACAGAAATGCTCTTCAACACACATGAGACTATTGCCATCGATCATTCATGGCTTTGGAGATGGGCGCTTTTGATATGCTGATATCACCCAGCTATGTCTTGGATTAACTAAACAACCAGAGGTAGTTGTGACAGTGCTTAGTCATTGTCTGGAGGCTATGGTCAAATGCCTACTGAAGCTGAATCCAGACAAGAAGAAAGTGATGCTGGTCATTTGGCAACTGACAAATCTAGCTGTCACTTCTCTAATGTTTGATGGAAAACCACCACCACCACTACCCATTGTGAACCAAGTAAGGAATTTGGGTATCTCATCAGACCCACTGTTCCTCCTGGAGAAATAAGTGGAAAATGTGGCTGGGTCACCAGTTTATCATCTTGCTCCTGTTCAGAAAGTTTCTCTTTACTTGAAGAAGGCTGATGTGGCCATGCTGATCAATGAAACTTTAACCTCAAGATTAGACTACTGTAATTCACTGTATGTGGGGCTACCTTTGAAAACAACTCAGAAGTTAAAACTGGTGCAATGGAACTCACATACTTACTGGACCACATACTCTACCCATATGAGGCCTTGCACCATCTAAGGTCAACTGGAACTGCCCTTTAAAAGGTGCCAACCATCAAAGCAGTCGGCTTGAGTGTATCCAAAAAAATATCCTTTTGTGTTGTTACTCGCATGCTCTGGAATTCTCTTCCTAAGTTCCTGTAAAGCAGGGGTCCCCAACCTTTTTAACCCTGCGGATCGTTGGGGGAAGGTGTAGCACCCCCTCGCGCTCATGCACATGCATGAAGGAGCATGTGTACTCTTGCACGCATGCTCAAAGGAGCGGGAGGATGCTCGTTTGGGGGCGCACTCATGCGCATGTGCAGACAGTGCAGTGCTCATGCAGCCATGCTCGTGCGCATGTGCAAAAGGGTGGGGGAGTGGTCATGTTGGCACTGGCGTGTGCGCATGCACAAAGGAGCTATACAGGGGGGAGTACATGACGGGGGGGTGGGAGGTCTGTCTCCGCAGCCCGGTCTGGCTTAGGCTACGGACTGGTATTGGGCCACAAACCGGGGGTTGGGGGATCTCTGCTGTAAAGTATGACATGACATGACTGGTCCAGAATTGGATGTAAGGTGGAGTTGTTTCACCTGGCCTTTGGAGGCTAGGATCTGCTATTCTTCCCCTTATTTGGTGTAATAAAAACTTTTTATAGGTCAATGTTTATGTTGTTGCTAGGTTTTATTGTATTTTACCAAATAGGTTGTTTTTTAAAATGATCAACCTGGGATTACCTCAGAAGATCTGCGTGTGGATAAAGGACTTTCTGACGGATAAGCCACAGTCAGTTAGGATGGGATCTCACCATTCTTCTCCCCTGGTACTAAGTACAGGAGCTCCCCAGGGCTGTGTGCTAAGTCCCTTCCTCTATTCCCTGTACATACATGATTGCACCCCACTGTATAACACCAACGCAATTATTAAATTTGCGGATGATACGACAGTGGTGGGGCTCATAAATAAGAACAATGAAAAGAAAGTACAAGGGTTGATACTTTGGTGTAAAGAAAATCATCTTTTAACATTAAAAAAACTAAAGAACTCATAATTGATTTTAGGAGGAAGAGAAATGTACATTTACTACTGTATATAAATGGCGAGGAAGTGGAGAGAGTTGGTAGTTTTAAATTTCTGGGCACTTACATCTCAGAGGACCTCTCATGGACTATAAATGCCAACATGCTA